TTTTATTGTTATATTTAAATTTATTTTAGTAATTTTTAAGACCGAATTAATTAGAGGATATGATAAAATAAAAATCCCATAAATACATAAAATTTTTATCTTGAAATGATTTTAGAAAGAATTTTAGTAAAGATTTTAACGGCCCCAAACTTTGCTTAAAAAAACATTCCTTGCGCATAATTTTGATGAAGTTACGCACAACAATTTTCAAGGTATTTGCAAAATAAGCAAAATAGCACTGATATTTTCTGTTCAATATTGTTGCGAAAAAAGCTGCAAAAACTTTATTCCCTGAAAAGTGAAATGGATATTAAAGACATATAGAAAAATAATACTAAAGATGAATTAAAGCGTTTTCTAAAACTGAAAATGTTTCCTTAGAATTTTATACAACAAAAAGAGCATGTACATTCAAAAAATAGTACTAATTAAAAATTGTATACGAAGTTTATAGAAAATTACTGTATACATAAATAAAATTAACTAGAGTACATAAACAAACAATAATAACAGTAATACAATATAAATACCAATGACAAAATTACAAAAGTACAAAATAAACATAAAATGTGAAAAGAAGAAAAAAATTAAAAGATAATAAAATATGATAAATACAAGAAGAGAAAATTCGAACTAGAGGAAAAATAAAAAACGTTATAAAATAACGTGATTTAAAAATTTCAGAAGTTTGAAATTTTTTGCGATAGATGGGAAAGTAGTTAAGTTCGTAAACTGTAATATTAATAGCAGTAAAAGGAGTAAGACTAAAGATGAGTTTAAAAGAAAGACAGAAAGTGAACAGATTTGAAGAAGTGATATTTCTAGAATCTAGAACAATAATTTCATGATTATTTAATTATAAATCTATAGAGTGATGTCCTCAATTGAGCGGCAATCATTTTTCTGTGCACACTAACTTCAGTCTTTCATACTTTGAAATCCAATTTATTAGACAAAAATTTATTTAAATAATCGAATGAAGTATTTTTATTTTTAATTTTAAGTCGTAATAAAAATATATTAAGAATTTGTTGTATGTAAGTTACAGCTATCAAGCTTTTTAGTAAAGAAAATTAGAAAAATATTTGTGAAATTAACAAAGTAAATTAATAAACAAAATTAATTTAAAAAACCAAGCATGTAAATATTATAATATTGTATCAGTAAATTATTTTGACCTCATTTTGTCAGCGATAAAATTAATCTCGCTTTATTATCAATTTCTTATTTATCATTTACGGATTGAATGTGTACTACTAATTCATTTTTTATTTTACCCCCTGCGATTTAAGGGTAAGGATTAGAGTGTATTTTTATAAATTTAACATATGCAAATAACAAAAATATTTTTCGTTCCTCTGTCTTCCGTACAAAAATGGTTCTACAATATATTAAATGTCTTTTTCCCTCTCACTTTTTGTCTGTGCTTTTATTTTTTATGGCATACCAATTTTCATATATATGTGTTATCATAGATTAAAAAATTATATGTAAAATATTCTGTATAAAAATAGAATTAGTTAGAGTAAAACAAATTAAAAATTTTTTATTTGTATTTAAAATGAATATAATAATATAATATTCGAAAATCTTAAGAATTTAGTAACAAAGAAAACTTAAAATGTGTTTTAAAATATAAAAATATATTTAAATATGTTAATAATAACAATAAAACAAATAATAAATTTTTAATGAATAAACGAATAATATACTACTAGATTTGACACAATAACCTCGAAATAATAATGTACTTATTTAGATAACAATTATTCTTTCATAATGTTGAATGAAAAATATTTAAAAATAGAGACATCAGTATTCATAATTTAAAAAATTTAGAAGAAAACAACACAAAAAAAGGCCAATAATCTAATTATTTCATAAATACTCATATTGATCCTCTTTTCTTCTATATATTTCCTAAGTTGAATAAAATGTTTATATTGATGTTTTGTGTAGATGTGTTTGTTATATTTTTCATTATTGCACTATTTGTCTTTTTAAATTAGTAATCTCATTTAATTTTTAGATAAATGGCAGAGCGAGAACTAGCAATTAACATTAGTCATATTTCGTGATGATTTTGCCGTTACGCTCCATATGTGTTTATCTTTTAGTACAAATTTTTAATAATAGCCTTACTAATAATAACGATAACAATAATAATAAGAAACTCTCACCTCTGTCTTCTCTCTCGTTTCTCTCCTTAGTATGTTAAAGCAGTCATCGAACGAATTTCTATCAACTACATAACTCAGCTACATTTGTTATTATTTTTTTTTCATTATTCGAAAAATCTTTCCTAAAAATTTAACGCGCTAACATGCGTTCCTTTTTTTTACTTCTTTCATCTTTTTTCTTCATTTATGTTCATATATGTATATATATATAAATATATATAAATATATACTCCCATATACGTACATATATAAATATGTATTTATATATATATATAAATTTTATTGTTTGTAACGAGCGAGAGAAGCTAAACATCCCGCCCTGTACCTTGCGTTTTCGAGCACGTGATATCTGTAAGTGTATATCTATCTCGAGAGTCGTATGCTGCGCGACCAGATAGCGCGGCATTATGTATAATTAAATTTTTATTTAAAAAAAATAGATTAGCGTTCAACTATAAAACATCGACTGCTAGCAAAGAATTAAAATATATCAATAACGCAATAAAAAATTTTTTGTTAGCAAATATTATATTATCATCTTCATTCTACTGTCACAACTATTTCCGTTAATTTTAGGTAAGGTTCAGTCAGATTAATGGATTTTAAACTACTTGTAATTTATTATCAACAAATTATGAACTTGAACGTACTAGACGCGTGAATGTATTCAGTTTTGATATGTTTGTTAAATAGACAAACTCTACGTTTTGTCTATTTAATGCATTATATTTCATTTGTATAAATGAAAAGACAAAATGTAACGTTGTTGTGAAGCTGTAGTGAATACAATAATAGATAGTATCTATATAATAATAGCGATATAATAACTACGTGTGTATATGTGTAACAACTGTAGATATAAACCGGACATTGCCTATAAATAGTAAAAATCAGTATGGTTATTAACATTAGCATCGGCGATATAAGATATTTAACAGATTAATCGGTGACAGAATTAGATCATTTTTTAAGATTGTTGCTATTTAATTTTTATCAATAGTTTCACTCTCGAATATTCGCTTATTGATTTTTATGTTCCTTTTTTATAATTTTAAAGACTATAATTTTGTATTTTTCTCTTATATTATTAGTTTCATATTATAATCTTACATTTTTGAGACAAATTTTTAATTAAATTATTAAGTTTATTATGCACAATGTTACAACTTGCCTTTTACGTCATGATTAAAAAAGTTTATATAGCTAGCAACCCATAGTTTTACAGTCAAAAGCAGCAACATTTAAAATAAGAAGGGTTTATAAATTTGATAGAAAAGGACAGCAATTAAAATAAAGTTAGTTAGACTATAAGTGCAGCAATATAAAGCACAGTACAGTTTCTGTACTACGACGCATTCATTGGAGCTGTTAATTGACCACCTAATAGGGAAGTTTCGAGGTCCATATTTGAATATTCAACTACTTCTGAAGTTTCCCATTTGATAACCGATTACATCTAACCGACTTGCACGCAGACCGCAACAATATAATTGCACACGCAGCAAGAAGCCGATCATCTTCCGTGCGCTACAAATTTTTTATTTCCAGAAAAATAAATAAATTAATTGATCACCGTATATAAATCACGCTTGTTACTTCCTAGCTAGTTACGCAGAAGCTCTAATCGTACGGCAACCATCATGAGATCACAAAAGTGATATTGCCGTTATCAGGGTTTATTAAATATATCTATGCCCAATAAAATTGTCGAATACAAAACTTTAAAAGTTTCGACGATTCTTTAAAAAAAACTTCTGAGAACTTCCAAAAATTTCCTACCAGAGAAATATTGTAGGAAACCTCCTCCTATATCCCTATCCGAGAATCAATTAACATGTCTGAAACGTTCGCAGTACACGATCTTAAGAAATACAGAATAACTAGATATTCCACAAAATATCAAAATAAACAAATCATTAATACTAGTAATAATTAAAGAGTGAATCGTTAGTTTCCTCTAATAATCAACAGTTGATTTTCAAATCACCAAATTGCGCCAAAAATTCTTCATATAACTATAGATAATACCTAGACGAACTATAAATAGAAAATAACTCAGTATCCACAATTGGATACTTCACTCGTCATACCAGATAATTGATTTGTAAACTATACTACAGCTAAACACATTCTACAGAACACCTAATTATCCTATATAAAACACAACACCACTTCACACTTCGTTTTAACTGCAACAATTACATAAAAAAATCACACTCTGGTCGAGTCAGCATTCTCTCTCTTTTCTTTTTTGTCTTCATCGTCGTCTACGTCGTTTTTACCCCCTAAAATTTCCCTTCACAAACACCATCGACGATCGACAATATTTCAGTCATCTCTCCTTTTAGTTTTTACACATATTCTTTCATTTGTTTACTTCCAAATAAAATGAGATTAGACTTTTGGATTTCTAATTCTTCTCCGCGATATTTAGTTACTTGATTTCCATTCTTTCTAAAAACATATACTAATTGTGTCTATCTTTCGTACTTCTCTTCAAGATTATTGTGTCGATATTTTGGTAATTAATTTTATTTTTCTTCAATATCGTCAATGTCTGGATTTCTTCGTTTTGCGCTAAAAAAACTTCAGGATATCTGTCGAGAATTTCTTCCAAATTCATAAATTCTAAATTAAAATTTATATCTGGTTGTATAGAAATCGAGAGAATTGGTCTTTATATTTTCTCAAGAAGCATCTTTCAATTTTATTCTTTATTCTGTTGATTTATTTTGTCCTCCGATTGTTTCCATTTATTATATAAATATAACAATATGCTCCATTGTTTATTTATAGTTAATATTTTTGTTGAAATATTAATAATATTATTTATTTTGAGTTGTAGTTTTATTGTTATGAGGTTCTCTCCTAATGGATGGTTTACTGAAATTACTAATAAATTATCAGCACCGATATAGTTGAATTTTAAAATTTATTAAACATTTTTTTTCAAAAAATTAAATTTAGTTTTATATGTTCAATTAGTAATCACATTTTAATTCCAGTTATCAATACCAATTTCTTGTGTGTTATCAGATTTTAATAAAAGATCACATCTTTTCTCAGTTTTCGATTTTCTAATTTCTTATAACTTGCATGAATTTACAATTTTCGATATTTCATATCATTCACTTTTTTTTGATAGATAATTCGATTAACGTTTCTTTGCATAAAAGATATTCTTCTTTGATTTCTAATTTGAAAAATCTCATGCAGGATAAATCCTCGACAGGATCTTTTCAATTTTTGAAGTTGCATCTAAATGTGTGACGGTATAATGAAAAATCCTTCAGGAATCCTTTAAAAATCCTTGGAATATATCTTCTGGCTCATTCTCGTCATTCACTTTGCTTTAAGCAACGACCGACCAATCGACTGTTGAAATTGATCTCCGATTGATCGACACGACGATGACGTTCCAATGTTGGTAACTCTACGTTTTCCTCTTTCTCGTTGCTTCGTTATCTCTTCCGCTACCCTTTCCTCCTTTACTCCTGTGGGCAGCAGGGCGGACACGAGTCCGACAACGACGTATAATACCGTTGTCATCTTTCTCGTGAACCGCGCGATGCAATAGGCTCATTGGAGGCTGCACTTACTTTCAATTTGCGATTTGATCTCGTTCACTTGCGTTTCTATCGTATTTCTCAGTTCTGAAACAGTCAAAATGAGAATGTGTTTAATATTATAAAATATCAACAGTAAAATTCTGAGTAAAAGAATAATTAGAGAAAAATATACAAAATTTATGAAAATTTATAATTGAAAGTGAAAATTGTTTGTAAAGCAAAATATAAGATATTATAAAAAAGAAAGAAAAAGAGTGTAAAAGGAAAGAAAATGTCTATTTTATACGATTATCCTAATAGATGTCTAAAAATCCATATTTAATATAGTTGTTCGTTTAAGTTTAAAAAATTGTAATCTTTTTTTAAAACCTGTAATTTTTATAAAAAATAAGTTTTTATTTTCCAAATTTTATCTTTCTCTTAAAGATAATTATGCAGAAAGCCTATTTTTTTGCCTAATTTTAATTTGCACCTATGTGTATTCTTGTAAATTAAATATGAAAATTAATTTAGTTAAAACTGTTGATACGAAGTATAAATTAAAGTAGAACAATTAAATAAAGTATTTCTGCAGCTAAGAAAGCTAATTGTTGCACATTCTGCTTTAAAGCTTTCATGAATAAAATATAATTAATTTTTTTACTGATTCTTACAATTAGAATTAATATCTAAGTTGTTCCATATCTAAGTTGTTCCAGTAATTTATAAGATTTAATAAAAATCTGATAAAAATACAATAAAATAATTTTGTTTATATGTGCTATCTTATGTGTATATATACGTACGTGTGTGTGGCTGTAGTACATGTACGTGTGTTTAATATATGTTAAAAGACAAATTAATTAACTATATACATATACACATATACGTATATATACATAGTTAATTACTTGTCATTATCATATACATATATACGTATATATGTATATATACGTATGTATATTTGTATACACATAATGAGTCCAAATATATTCGGGAAGCTGGCAGATGTCTCTGAATCTCTCTAGTGTTGTTATGGATTTAGAGTAATTTCCCTAAGGGCTTGTTCTTTACTACTATATATATTAACAGAAACACGATTCAATGTTTTCTTGTATATATGTATACAAATAATGATATTATAGAAAATAATTACATTAATTCAGGTTTACAAAATTAGAAAACTTGTCACATTTTTTAACCAAACATATTTTGCGAGTCCATATGTACCTTCCCAAGTTTAGAATTAATATTATATATGAATATCAATATCCTAAGAAATATTTTATAGTTTATATAGATAATACTGGTAATAACGATTTTGAACTTCTTAAAAAGGACTATTATCAATGGCCTTATCTTTTTCTAAGATAACTTAATTTTTCACTTTTATTTTTTACAAAGTGGGCTGTGTATTTATATGGTTTTAACTTGAGATTAAGTTTTTATGATTAAAAATAAACAATTTTTTTATTCTTAATCATAATTCAAAACTTATTGAAGTCTCCATATTGTTATTTAAAAAAAAGTTAGGTTTAAAATTGTATAAAAAATTGCAAGTCAAAGCTAATTCAATGGATTTAAAATATCTTGTATTAATACATATCAAAGTAATATTGCAAACATTACATACTAGTGAACTCATCTTCGTCTTCGGCTTCAGCTTCAGCCGCCAATTCCTCTGGTGTCTTCTTCTTTCGCATTAGAGGATTAGGCTCTTCTTGTGGCATCTCTTGCACCTCCTCCCTTTTCTTTATGTTATACTGTAAAGCAAAGAAAAACAATATTTCATCAAGCGATGGAAAAATCTATAACTTCTCTTTTTAGTATTAAGAGTTTGATTATTCAATCATTTATAAAATCTTTATGAATACTGTTAATTTACTATAGCATTAATTTATTATCCTATTTTATTATTATATACTATAATTGTTATATTTAACATTTTTTTCTTATATTACAATTACATTTTTACAATAAATTACATTATATATTTTATTATCAAATGTCTTTTTATCATTTAATATTTATTTTACTGTATTATATTAATTTATATTTTAACAAATAATATCTCTCTTTTGTTCTTTCCCCGTCTCTCTTTCTTTCTTTATTCGCTATTTAATACATTCAATTTATAACATGCAGCAATGATCCTCGCGTATTGATGCTTTGTACTCTTGGTACAACAATAAGCTCGATTGCGGAGCAAACTGGACATAGCATTAATGGTACAAGTGCCGTTGTCGCTGTGTGTATAGGAATATGCCTCACATACAAGTATTATCATTACCTGTAGGATACATATATGTTGTACCACTGACCAAGGCCTCATTAATAATTGGTGCCTTTCAGTGAAATGATTTGTTATGCAATGAATAATAGTGCATACTCCATGTCAGCGTCATGAATGCCTTTGTTTCCTCCAGATGAGTCGCTTTTAGAAAAAACGCGTTATGTTTGATTATACAGGATGTTAAAAAAAACCATTAAGCATTTATATGATAGATGGTACACTGCACCAGTTTTTTATACTGAATAAAAAAGCCTTAGAAAAAACAGGTCGAAAACTCAACCGTTTCTAAGATATAACAATTTCGAATGTTAGTATCATAACTGATTTATTGGCTTCTATGTGTCGTATGCGACGTAAAGATTTACCTCAGTGTTTACAAACCGCGTTCTGAGTATCCTAATTCAATTTCCATACATTGCTTTATAATGATAAATTTCACCGGAAATCAGTAACTTGACATCAAGTAGCCATTACGACTGAATGGGCATTATGGGAGATTATCTCACAAAATCTATAATTCTCTCTCAAATAGGCAATTTATCTCAATTATCAGTGCAATTTATCCAAGTTTTCTTTTTTCGCGTCGTATGCAACAAGTAAAAGAGATAATAAGTTAATTATGATACTAACATATAAAATTATTTATATCTCAGAAACGGTTAAATTTTTTCGACTTACCCGAGTCAAAATTTTGACCCTTGATTAAACCTTTAATTCTATGATATAGTAGAAGCTAAAATATCAAGATAGGTTCAATTATGACACAATTTACTCCTACTTTGACTGTAATGATGTCGCAAATTTCCTTTTTCACTGCTTTTAGTAACAACCATATCATCAAAGTAGGTTTTATCTAGTTTATAGAACATTTAAATAGGTGCAAACTATCCTTAAGAATGTCAAAGTAGTATCAAAATTTCGACTCGGGTATGTTCACTAAAACTTTTAATACAATGTGTACTATTTACCACTTAAATGTTGAATGATTTTTTAACACCATGTATTATATATTGAGATTCAAAAACATACGTAACAATTTGAAATCAGTAATGTGAGACGTATTTTATATATAGATAATAGTATTTTACACACCTATTAAAACTTATTACGCGATTCCTGTTATTATATACCTACATCAGTTCACTTAAGTATAAATTAGTTCACTTAAGTATACATTAATTTTCTCTAGTTAAAGAAGAATTTTCTAGTTGAAGAAGAATCATTTCACAAATTATATTGCTTATCAGTAATATAATAATTAGTACAAGATATATTTTTTTCCCTTATATATATAACTTATAATTATGCAATAAAAGGAATAGTTTTTTATTACAAGCATAACTTTTTATTACAAGCAATATACATCTCGTTAGTATGCAAACAATATTTAGTCAACGATTATTTATTTAATAAGTTATTATACTTTATTATATCAAACAAATTAATATTTTAAAAAGTGGAGAATCAATATTGTTTTTTATCAAAAAATCCTTTAATAAGAAGGAAATAATGAAAACGTCAAGAAATGTACACAAAAAATATATGATATATCGTGCTACTCTTTGTAATGTAAATAATTTTTTCTTAATTGCAATTTTAAAAACACATCGACTAATATTCTAATTAGTACTTTAATAATTTCTAGAGTTTGAAAAGTCTTTAAAAGTTTTTTAAAACGGACATGAAGAAGAATTCTATTTTATCTCTTATAATCTTAATTCTCTGACTAAATATTTTACAAGAACTCATTGTTTTTTAAACTCTCAATCTCTCAACGAACATACGCGTTATGTCAAGGAGACAGATAGCACAAGGATAAACGAGCACTGTACCCCACATGGCAAGCGTCAAATCTGATGCTCTGATCCTGACGTTAATTAATGTTCCTCGATATACGCGCAACATGTCCGCGCACCTCTTGCATCTGCGTCAGTACGTGCGCTTCTGTCCATTCATGTTCGAAATTATGAGAACATTATTATGCGCCGGATTATAGTTGCGCGGCGATTTATCACGCGTTACATCTAACTTGCGTGCACAACTACTTTTAAAATAATAGGAAAATTTAAGAAATACTTAATTCCAAAGTCAAAACAGAGAGAATGAGGACCAATGTGTAAATAATTGTCAATTATAATCTTTAATTATTAAACATAATAATTAATTATATATAATATTGTACAATATATAGATATTAATAATAGTAATTACATTTTTCAGGATGTTATAATTGGGGATATTCATAATTATTCTTTAATTAAGATTTCTTGAGCATAAAGAATTCTTATTCCTTACAGATATTGTTATGTAACATTTATTAGATTTAATACATACAATAATTGCAACTGTTTGATAGTAATTAATGAATAAAAAAATATTTTAAATTTTGCACCATTCGCTTATTCTAATGAAATCAGTACAGTGTATTGCTTTCATGAAGTCCGCAGAGTGAGTCGCACTGCGGCGTTTTTGAGGCCTGCGTCCTTTCACGCCCTCGTTTCGATGTATTCTACATTCTTATGTAACTATTCATGTAAAAATGTTCTTTTCGCCATTATAGTTATTACAAACAAAACAAACTATATTAAATACAGATGATACTTTGAAACGAGTTATATTAAACAGATAATATTTTAATATTTTATTGACTTTTAGAAAATTTGATGTTTTATCAATATTTCCAAAATTTTATCAGCAATGTTAACATATGTATATAACTTTCTTCTCTACTTCTCCACACTTCTCCTTTCATTATCCATTCGTTATTATCGTTATACCTACAAGCATTATTAGTTTGTAGAAGCAAAAGGAGAGATTGGAAGAAGAGATTATGGTATTTGGTATTCCCTATATGCATCATAAATTTTGTCGGTACTAAAAATGGACAGAAGATCTGATACGATGTCATATTACCGCGACATATTACCGCGATCGAGAAATTGGAATCTGAGATCTCTGTCAGAATTCAGAGTTATAGTAAATTTCAAAAGATGCGTATCTTATTGCGCCTGATCCTTTTTCTGAAAATCTACATATACTTAGGGTAACTCCGGTATATACGCCGCACCTATCAAAAACTTAATTTATTAAGGGAGGGGTATAGTTAATTCGCGGTCAAAAGAAGGCATGTTTTTATGAATTTTTTTAGGCGCTCTGGTTAGTGCCAGTGTATTGAAATAAAATTATAATAATAAAA